TAAATCTTAGATTGATCACTTTATTATTGAATGAGAATATATGATGTGCATGATACAAAAAAGCAAATGTCAAACCTTGGTGTTTTCTGATAGATAAAGCATTGATCATTTAGATAAGATGCGAGTTATCTTTTGTGAATATCTTAAGATTAGATCATTAACGATGACTTGTACGCCTACTAATCATATGACATAGACTAGAACTTAGACTATGAAAATCCATAGTCTTATAAGGAGACCGACTCTTTTAGAATAACTTTAAAGTAGATTGGGTCTTTCAGTCATTTTCTTCAGTGTTTGGTTTGAATTATCACTTGTTTGCTTCTGAATGGTTCCACGTTATTCTTTCTTTCATGCACTTTGTTGACTTCACGTATAGAAGCATGACCGAGTTATGAGACATCGAGGGTAAATATATATATATTGGAAAATCTTGTGATACGTGTTAATTATTATAATCTAGTTATGATGTCATAGGAGTTAAGTCAAGTATTGATCAAATGATTTACAATCAATATCTAGTTAGTGCAACTATGAATAATAATCAGTTTTAATTTATATTATATAAATATAAAATTTTTTTGGCGCTGCCCCTCCGACGTTCTATTCCTGTACACTTTCTCGATCCGCCGGCCAAGTCGTGGGCCTTCAGGCTTCCGCGACTGCCGCACGAGACCAACAAACAACTTTCCGGGAGCCGGAAATTTGCGCCGCTCGCGGTTTCGGCAAAGCTGCCGGACGTCCGTAAATGCGTCCTCGACCCTTCGACCGATTTAATTCTATTCAGATGGCGAGGAATAAAATTTATGTCGTGGTCGGTGCGGTGTGTGTGCGAGGAGGAGTTGCGCATTTGCGGCAGGTGCTCGATCAGCGAAAGGTCTGTCAGCGAACCCTAGCCGCAAGCTTTTGACCTGAAGTCGGAGGACTTTCCGAAGACGTGTCAGGGAAGCATACATGGGAAAGGGAGGACGGAGAAGAGTTGCGAGAAGAGCAGTAGCTGCAGAGGAACGATGAGACCGGATTGCGTCACATCATAATTGCAATCTAACATTGATTGATTCGGTACATTGCATGAGTTGCGATTGTAAACCCTCCTTCGAGCGTTTGCGGGTCCCCTCGGGGCCCTCCACGACTCGTGGAGGGCCCCGATTCCAAGGACCTTGGAATCGGCGTGCCTGGCAAGGAGGTGCAGATTTGCGGATACAGCAGCAGAGCTGTTTCTGGTGGCAAGATTGATGATGCGGTGAGGTTGGAACTGGTGAACAGTCTGTCTGATAACCACCACGAACTCAGCATGCTTTTTCTGTATGCATGTTCATTCATTCTAGCCTTGCAAAATTTAATTTAAACAAATCATCCAGTCCGCCATGTACTTTAGAAAGTCAAAACACCAAAAGGTGATGAAGATTCGAGAGAGGTTTTTAGTTTCCACTATAGAACTTCCAGAAAATCTCTTCTTCAGCATTGCCCACTTCAAAAATGGCACACGGTCAACTAGAGTTACATATGAGTCAGCACAACTTTGACTTTTGCAGATGGCACACTGTCAACTAGAGTTACATATGAGTCAGCACAACTTTGAATAGTACTGTATGAAGTGGATTCGGCTGCTGGACTATGAATGGTTCCTAGATTCTTTTTCATGGCCATGCATCTCCGAGCCCCATGTGACTCAAGGTGGTACAGTTATTTGTACATTGGAATCTCGAGGGTGTTGTCCGGAAAACTATATTCTCGATGTCACAACGACACATGTTTCGAAATTAAGTTATATCGAACTCAGAAGCTTCATAGCGCTGTCATTATTCCCAGATAGTGAACAAAGTTTTACTCAGAGGTTGTCGCCGCATTCCAGAAGAACAAACATCAGGCCGTCAGTTATGATGTAGAGTTGCTGGTGGAACACAGTTTGGAGATGTTACGTGTTTCATAGCATTCTAAATAATCATCCCCAATATCATACTTGTGCTATTCTATGCGATTCTGCTTGATTTTCACTATTCCCGTAACCCAGCAGCTTGATAATACTCACGCGTAGGAGAGAGGAGAGGCTTCTTCATGATTGCTTCGGAAGCAGCCTCATAAGCGTTCGCACTCTTGGAGGATGGTTGTACTTAGTCGCACCAATCTCCATAAACAAAATTCTCAATTTCATTGTGACAAAGTGGCTGGCATTCCTGCGTTCAGACTGATAAAAGTGTATATACCAGTTTCTAATGTCAAAGTTCCTATTGTGGGTCCATGGAATAAACCGAAGACATAAGGAAGCTTCTCATCTAAGTTGAATATTTCAACTTAGATGAGGGTCGGCTTGAAATGTGTGTTAAAGGAAGATAAAGCGGTGGCGTGAAAGGTTGGACTCTACAGTTGAATCATTGTATTGTGCGTTGTACTTGTTCAGTATGTTCCCATAATAAAGATTAAAAGAATCCAGCCGAGCATTTCACTTTGTTCTGCGGAGTGAACTGGAGTTTATAAGTTCCACGTTACTCCTATGGGTCCTTGGAATAAGCCGAAGATATAAAGAAGCTTATGCGTTGGAATATACAACGGAGATCAGGGTCAGAGGTAAAGTGATTTAGTTTTTTGTTTTACTCTCCAATTTAGGCATTGTACTGCGCGTAATACTTGTTTGGCAAGATACCACAATACAATAAAAAATATGTTCCGAGAATAGTTTCCAATGTGTATCGTTCCATTTAAAAATCAGATTATCTAATATCACAGCAACTGTTAACAATTATAAACAAGCCAGCCAAGATGCTGCTCCTGAAACATACTTGACTTGGCTGTTTGAAAAAGCAAAAGACATTTGCGTACAAGTGAAGATTGCTGTGAAGATACAACCTGTAGCATTCTGCATGATCGCTACATACTGTCATGGCATAAGTTGGAGAAGGTCTTATGTATCTGTGAGCAGATCGTGTCTTGATTCTTATGAAGTGGACGGTGGGTTACATCATGTAACCCACCATCCACATGTAACCTACATGTGGATGAGTACTCCAGACTCAACATCAACGAGTAAGTTGAATACAAGTGGAGAGTGAAAAATAATGTAGTGAATAATTTCCAGTTGGATTCTTGATAAATTTAAAATATATATAAATTTCTAGAGCACCGAGTCATAAAAAATTACATTGTGCATTTTTTAGAAGATCTTGCACTAAGAGTTAATGCCAACTATTGTTGCAGGATAGCTGTGTAGTCATCGGAGTGAATGCAAGACACTTTTTATGTGTAGGCTGGTGTGAGAAAAATGATCCCTAGGGTATAGTAAATAATTCCTACAAGTACGCCAATGGACACCTGCGGCAGAATTCACCAATATAGAGAATTCCCAAAAAAAGAATCAATACGTATAGTTGAAAAAAAACATGTCAAGTAAAGTAAGATGACATATTTTGATCTAATATTTGGTTGCATTTTAACTTTAGCGAGAGACTAAGTCATTGTTGGAGATTATCCATTGATTCTTTCATCAACATTTGATCTTTTCAGAGTTAGTTCAACTTGAATGTATCGTGCATCATCAAGATTTTTGTGTGTAGGCATGTAAGTAAAAGTCTGAAATAATTACTTACAATGTTATTATCACCTCCTTGTTTCAGCTTCAGTTATAAAGTTGGAACAAGTAAACATGTAACCATCCACTAATTATCTCATTTGTGTAGTTGTACTATTTGAGAATTATTCAGTTGCATTAATCTAGATGATGCATCTAAATAAACTGTCCAAGAATCAAAAAATTAAAAAAAACCAAAACAGCTGAAAAAGTTTAGAGTCAAAATCTCTAAAGCTGTGAATAAAATTTATATAAAATGTTAAACTGTAACTTTCATTGAATATGTCTTGTCAGAAACAAATTATTACACATTGTTTATGACTGAACATTTTCAGATTTGAGGTACCATCAAATAAAGATGCTAAACATGCAACACATATAATAGAAAGGTATTAAATCACAATTTTAAATTTTGTAACTTTCAATTCATGTGAATTTGCTTTACACAAAAGAGAGAGTACTAAAGACATGAATTAATACTTTTGCGTTTCAACCATTTTATCAATTGAACAAAGTGCTTTCATCTATTTATCTCACATGTTTGGAATTATGATATGAGCATACGAGTGCAAAAGTTGCAGAAATACTTGTTTCATTTGAGTCAATATTTCAGGTATTGCAGTTTCCATGTAAGTTTGTCTTACCCTTTAGACTTCAAACGAGATGTTCATCTGGAGTTTTGAATCATTGTTCTCTAAAATTTAGCATATGAGGTATTTTTCATCTCATCGATACAACAAAGTTTTTCTTCACTTGCAAGCAGATTAGAAGAACGTAAATTCTTGAGAGGATTTACGTTGACCTTAGCAAGTATCATGCTGGTTCTGTGGTGTTCTAAACGACGTGATAAACAAGCAGGACTGCTCTTAGCTCGGACGAAATCTGATTTTATTTTAATGTTTGAGGTTGAAAGACCTCCAGACACTGGTGTTAGAACTGTGCATGCTTGACAGTCGAGGTAGAAGAACAATCATACCAGCAGTTGAAGACCGCGAGTCCTCGTGTACTCTGTACCCATGACATTATGATTAGAAAAATGATTTCCCACAAAGTTTATCACTTTCTGAACCTACGCTATATGCAGAGTAATGTAGATTACTGTACCGATCGTCAAAGCAAGAAAAACGCGCAAGAGACTTTACACACCAAGCTGACAACCCATGTGCCTCTCAATTGTAAGAATACATCCACTTGCTTGAATAGATCAAAGATTCTTTAAATTTCTGTGCTCAGCGTGACGACATCGAGTGTATCAGCACACTGATGCATTCATCAATTTTCACGTTCACTTGCACAACAAAGTCAAGATTTACTCTGACCTTCTCAGAACATTTTCCAATCACTCCGAGTTTGGAGGAACACGCGTGTTGTGTTAGTATGTTGTCTTGACCTCGATCATCCAGACAATATAATGAGAGTATCTGATGAGTAAGCTGCAAATTTCTACTCGCTACGCTTAGGAGGGTCTGTGTTTCCGTGGGTGTTGATGCAGCTAGATTCGCATTCTCCCAGTCCGATTGTACATGGAGTTTTCCACAAGGTAGAGTACTTCCCATCTGAGATATCTGCGTTTCCATGCTTTCTTTGACATTCTGCATGCACATCGCACCATCGATACGAACCAGTTTTTTGGATTTCAGATTCACTTGCAGAGCTTTTAGCTTGTCCACTCAGTTGGGTCACCAGAGCTAATCAAACAACTCTTTTGGATTTCAGATTCACCTGCAGAGCTTTTAGCTTGTCCACTGAGTTGGGTCACCGGTGCTAATCAAACAGCTCTCTCCGTTAAACTTCACAAAAGGTTTGTTCCCCGAGAGATATAAAGTCCCCATTGCACACTCTCTACAATTTGCTTTGGAACCGGAATATTGGTTATCTGCTTTGATTTTGATTCACATCGCTTGTCCTGCCCAGCACTGAGTGCGAGCAGCGTCTTACTTCTAGTTTGCACAATATCCCTACGTTCGTGGTGATTGCTCCTGATCCGAATCCTTGCAGAGGTAAGATTAATCTTAATTTTCTCTTCATGCAGGTCGCAAGAAGTGTCATGCCCAGCGGGCACAAGTTTTGACACTGCGACGGGAAGTTAATTTTTTTCGGGTGAGCCGATCCTTCGGATTGAGGAGGGGCTCCTGAAGCCCAGGTGACATTTGGCGCGCGCATGCCAAGCAGCAAACGTTTCTTAATCTCTGAGAGAGGAGGAGAGAAAGGAAGGTGCAGGTGCGTCCATCTTCAGTCACGCTGCTGAACTGGCGACACGGGAAATGGACTCCGCACACGAGGAACCGGAGCTTCCCTCCGCCATCCAGGACCTTGTACAGCGTCTGGAAGGACAAGGGGAGCCTATAACGGAGCTTCCCGATTTAACCAAGCCAGAATTTCGGGAGTTCTTTCCGGATTACGAATTACCCTCGACAGTCATAGGGTGGCCAAGACGCACTTGGCGACACAAAGTGCGTCTTCGAGTGCTGGAGGCAATCGGCAGCTGCAACACCCTTGAGATTCTGAACGTGGGCAATATTTGTGGGGCATATATATCGAGGTTGACGCCAAGCGAGTGGGAGGTAGTTCTCAGAGGTTTCAGGTCGAGCACCGTTCTAGAAGAGATAATCGTTTTTGGGACATACCTTGCAGATGATGCGGATAATGAGAGCTTGTGTTTCCAGCTGGGGAGAATTCTGAATTCCTCTAGCGTAACAGAGTTAAAACTGAAAGCCAGTTTGAGTGCCAGATGTCTCTCGAATCTCGCCTCAGGTCTGCAAGGACGTTCCGATTCTAAACTCAAGTCTTTAGATTTAGAGCAAGCGTGGATGGACTTCGATTTAGGGGTAACGTGGGAGGACTCGAGTGCGGTGAAGTATGTGGCTGACATGATCAATAGTGCTCCTCTATTAGAAACGTTGCGTTTAAGCGGCTATATGGTTGACCTGGAGGACGAGACCGTTGGAATCCTGACCCAGGTTTTGATCAAGAGCTCGTCTTTGAAAGAATTTACCTTAGACTACGTGGGGAAGTGGGCAGGGCCCTTGTTGCTGAAAGCATTGGCCGGAGACGATCGCAACCGATCCATTGAACGTCTTCGGCTATTGTATATGGAAGGACTCGGAGACTGTTTAAGGGAACTTCTTATTTCCAACCCATCATTGAAGGAAGTGGAGCTCCACCGACTTGTCATGGAGCCTGAGCAAGCGCACCAGCTCGGCGAAGCCATACGTGACAATGCCATAGCGACTACTATACTTGTTAGGTTTGAATCCAGCTTTGATGAAGTTGGAGCCTGGGAGTCAGTGGAAGCTCTTGCTCGTTCTGCTAGCTCCGAAGTCAACGACCCCACTCTGGAGATTACACTCCATGTTGGTAGTGAAGATGAAGTGATGTTATCATTAAACCTATTAGGTAGGGTACTGCGCGGGGAAATCACATCTCTGAAATCTCTGAGTATATTACATCGCATTTCCAACCTCAATAGACCGGAAGGTATTCTGTCGATGAACGGAAGAACTGGAAAAACTTGCGTCCTGAAGAGACTCGGATTAAGTGCTCTAAGCGAAGATGTTTGGAAGGGAGTATGGAAGGACCTGCTTTTGTGCCTGCGAGGGAACACAAGTCTCACTCACTTGGATTTGAGTGAGACCTGGCTGGACGAAGAGACGTTCAGGGACATGATGGGGCTACTCCAAGTGAACTTGAGTCTCCAGGAAATAAATATCTCAAGAACCTCATGGACTATAGACGGAAAGGCGGCGTTGATTCAAGAGGCACTCAAGCAGAACGAAAAGCGGGCCGCCTACATGTCCGTATTTAGAGAAGCCGGATTAGCATTTGGAGATGCAAAAGCTGGTCGACTCTTTCTATGCGGCTCTCCTAGAGCAGGTAACGTGCTCTGTAACCTCTCACCTTTTTGAACTAGCAATCTAAGGTTTTACATTTCAAATTTAGTATTACTTTATGAAGTTTAGTTATGAATCGAGATGTATTTCGATTTGTGTGAAAAATAAAACAAAAATATAAGAAGAGAAAAGTCAAATACTAGTGATTTCAAATCTGAATAAGATATTTTTCAAAAAAACTTATTTGATTTGAATTCAAATTTTTTTCCATTCTTGTTTATCATACTCAAAGAATATGGTATCAATTAATCTGAAAAAACCTCTGAAGTAACAAGTTGTATTTGTTGTGGTTATGTGTATTCAATTTATAGGCAAGACTCAATTACGTCAAACACTGATCCATGGAAGAAGTTGGCAATGGGCCAAATTCAAGTGGAGAACTGAAGGAATTGAAGTGGACTTCTTGCAAAACAATAAAGAAAGACAGATCTCAATTTGGGATCTTGCAGGACAAGATATTTTCCGTACCCTTCAAAGTGTGCTCTTTCCTCGAGCTAGCAATTTTTGTCTTTTTTTATTTGTTTATAGCCCCTTCTGTCAGAAAGAAAAAAAGTACAAAGAAAGTTCTTGTCTTGAAACAGAGTTGGAGGAATGGTTGAGTTTCATCACATCCTGCACTAGGATTACGGGACATAGTCTTCCACAAGTTCTTGTTGTGATTTCACACAAGGATAAAGCCAGATTCAAATCTTTGAATTGGGCTCAGAACATAGTGAAAAAACTCAGTAAAAAAATTTGCAAGATTTGTGGATCTTCATCCTTTTCAAGAGTTTTTTCATGTGGACGGTCGTAAGAAGAAGCAAGTTAGGCCTCTCAAAAAACACATTTTTGAGATCTTTGATGACTTGTTGAGTAAAAAATCTCCACGGGTTCCTCAATTGTGTTCCCAACTCTCGTACCTCTTGGTTAAAAACACCAAGAAGAATAGAAGATGCCCTCTTTGGCAATCCAAGAAGTTTTCTGAATTTTGTTTAAAGATGTTGACAGAATTCATTCCAACCTCTTCGGCTCATGCCAAAGATCATTCAGAGATGATGAAGTCAATCACATCTTATATGAATGACGTTGGATCCATAGTTTCTATCCCCAACCTTGATTATATTATTGTTGATCCAAATTGGCTCACCAATAAATTATTGGGTGAGCTGGTAGCTGTGGGTCAAAACTTTCTCAAAAAAACCTCGAGTGTTTCATACGCAAGCAAGGACGGATTTGTGAGTGAGGATGTCTTTGCTTGGTCGATAGAAGAGTTTCTGAACAAGCAACCAGAGGTAAAGATAGGTGTGGACAGAGACACAGAGATAGGTGTGGATAAGAAAGTCATTGAGAACATCCTTATCAATTTAGATTTGTGTTTCAAGGCGGAAGATCCTTTTCAGTATTTCATTCCCTCCTTCGTACCTGAGTATGAAAGTGCTGAAGGACAGATACCTCAAGAATTGGCGGACGAGAAGTCGAAGAAATGGAGAAGTAGGGTTGGGGCTTCAAAGTTTGTCGGCATCCGGATACAATGTCAAGATGAAAGAACAATGTCACTGAACGCTGGCTTTTTCCCATGCTTCGAGGTGATTTTAAAGATACTGCGAGAAAATTGAATGCGTTGAGGTCTGATTGTAACTCATGTTTGATGAATGGAGTGTTCCCTTTTCATTAGTAGAATTTAATTTTTTAAATGTGCCGCTTAACATTTACCAAATTCTGTATCATTGTAGATATTCATGAGACGCAAGTTGATATCGGAGATGAATGTCTCCGAGAAGACTATGATCTGCTCTCGACATTATATGCAACTCAACCTTGATGGGCACGAGATATATCTGGAGCAAGGAACGTCCCGCAGTTACGTGGATGTTCTGATGTTATGCTCGGATTATAAATCAAGGGAGTTGGCCACTACTTACGTGATGAGGCATATCGTCCAGGAGTTGATATCATTTTGCGCATCATCGAAAGGCTGTCCCGGGGTGGCGTTAGTGCTCGGTTTGATCCAAACACGTTGCGTGGAGATGCTGATTCCGATTCATCGCAGAGGAGCCATTCTGATCGAGAAGCTCAAATCCAACTTCATTTGTTACATCAATGACAAACTTGAGGATTATCCGTCGGATAGGTTTCACTTGGTGAAGGAGGAAGAGTTGTTCAACTATGAGCACCCTTGGCCCCGGATTGAAGGGCACATAACAGAGGTTATACATGAAAGAGCGAGGGAGTTGCTGTGGAAGAGTGATGTGGAAGAGATTGTGAATGAGACCATTCAGAAGCAAATGCAACCATTGGAGTCATTTCATCAAGACCACAGCCAACAATTGAGATCATTGCAGAAAGGTGTAAACAAAGTGAACAAAGATTTGATTCACTTTTACCCTGAAAATGAGAACATGGTTACTATGAAAGACTCCAATCGACGATCATCCAGTGGGGCGAGCACAAGTGAATTTTGTGAAATCCGACATGCTTTGGATGAATTCCGACATGCTTTGGGAAGGATGGAAAGAAAGTTTGATGGTTTTGATGAAAGGTTTAGATTAGGTATGCAGAGATTGGAGACGAAGATGGAGCAGATACTCTCTGTGCAGCATCAACTGCAGTCAACTCTGAGTGATTTTGTGTCTAAAGTAGACAGGATTATCGGATATACTCAATCGTTTCAGCAGACCAGAACCCCCAAGCGACCTTACATTACGGATGATGTTAACAATTTCTATAGGTTGAGTGCATTTATGCATGTCGCGAAAACCGTTAGATTACACTTGATGTGTGAGTCGGCGACTGGGTTTCACGTGGTCGAAGATCAAGAAGGTTTGAAGATACGCGTGGATCTGGATAATCGTAAGTGGATTACCAAAACCATTGAAATTTCATACAAAGTCTTGTATTATACTGCAAAGGCTGGACTGAGTATGACGTTGGGGTTGGGCCAAGCGATTCCGGACTGGGCAGATTTAAAATCTGATATTGTTAAACTAGATGGCATTAGCGATGGTGATCGTAGTGCAGTTGTAAAAGCTGGGAAAAGCAAGGAGCTGACACAAGCATGGTTGAGGATTCAGAAACTTCTTGGGGATATTAACTATGCAAAAATCTTCAAGTTGTATCCGGTGAAATACGAGGGAGTAGAATCAGGTGGCCATGCATGGGTGTGCAAGGAGTGCATGAAAGAAGGTATTAGAACTGGGATTTTGTCGGGAAATTGAAGAGGTTAGAATGTCATGATGCAAATGACAAGCATATGTTTAGACACTCATGCATTATGATCCTCTGCAAGATCTTCCTTCAGAGTTTTCACTTGTACAAGTCTTGTATAATCTATGCAATCATGTCAATCGCACATACATGTTTCTGAAGAAGTTCAGATTTTGGCTAAACTATAAAGTTTCACTCTGAGGAAAAACTTTTAAGAAAGCCTTGTTGCAAGTCTCATCATGATGGATGATGAGCTCCTTCAATCTAAGAATGGATGAGAAACTAATTGTAAGCATTACTATTGCTAAGCACACTTCCTACAATGATGCCGTGTTATCAGATCTAGAAAACTTCTGTGAAAGGTTGACACAGAGGTCCATCAGATGTACCGATGAATATTTTCATCAAATCTTGATTTTGCCACCATGAGAAGTACACAAGACATGTTACGCAGAAAGATGATTACTTCATTGCTGCCAATAAGGTACTGATGACATCACAACCTTCCATCACCCTTATCTCTGAACGGATCTGATATGCAAATTTATTGTTATGCAGGTGCGGAATTACTGTAGTTGCCATTCTAAGATAAATGTTAATACTCACTAGTGAAATCCATACTCGCTCCGAAATTCAGGGGCAAAGTGGAGCTTAAAATATCAACATATGGAGCCTTCAGGTATCATATGCTGGACGGAGTGGAAACCTAAGAAACCATGACTCTCAAAAGTGACATAAATTCTGCTGTTGTTTCGCTTCGATGAGAGAAATTCTTTCTATCTGGACGAGGAGAATAGTGTATTCGAGGAGTCTGCATCCATGACTCCTTGAACATGCAGCAAGAATCATCTACATGCCAGCATATTAGTTTAAGTAAGAATTTCCACTAAAGCAACCTCCACCGGCTCACGGCCGGGGGCCATTCATACGAACACCGGCTGGACAACCTGCTCAGTTAGGAGGTTGGAGTGGTAGCTTCTTTCTCATCGATGCACGCAACGGATCAGTCTTAGAAGGATGGTGTTGATTACAGAGTGACTGGAAAAGAATTTCTCTAGAGTCTGAGTAGTCGCTTCAGACAAAGGATTATGATGGTCGCTTTGTCGTAAGTTGTCCATAGCCCATGTGGATTCAAAGCCGATCCACACGAGTGGATTCTTCTCAGGATCTTGGTTCCTACTGGCAATCCCTCTCATCCTCATCATTCACGGTGAATTTTAAATAAGCATTTTGAAGACCGCTGGCCTCCTCCTCGCTTCAAACTCAGATGTAATAATCTTCCTCAGTGGCCTGCGACACGCAGAAGAACATCGTCTGGAGATTTATCCGCTTTCACGTAAAAGCATCACTTCTGCTACTTTCTATTTAAAGCATTTTCAAACTGGCGGATGCTTTGGCTGGGTTGTGTTGATTTTACGTTTTAATGTGGAATAACTGCAGCAGGGACACGAAGTCTATTACAGCTGTCTCTCGAGATCCGCGATTACACACATGTCATTGGGAAGTTGATGAACGATCAAAAGGAGCTGTTGCGCACCAATGCGAAATTCCGAGCTTTGGCTTCCCTCGGCTCCTCCTTGAGACTTGTGAGGGACATGCCATGAAGACAAGAGACCAAATCGTCATGGAAAGATGCAACCAAAAAACTATCAGTAAATTACTCATGGAATATCTCTCTGAATTCTTCGCTTAACGTCCAAGGTTTCATTGAAGATTTTCTGCATCAACCTGTGAATAATTCCATGATAAGTGCAACCCAGCCACCCAGAAAAGTATCCCAAACGAAACAAAGATGTACGCCGATTACTTGATTACTTGTAATGAGCCAGTTTAGCATTTTAGAAAACGGTGCTTTTCTATTGACAATTGTAGTCTACGTTAAGTCAAACTAAATGTTGGATATCTGCATGGTAGGACCACATCCAGTGTTCAAGTTGTTGACTTTCCTAACCTGTCACTCGCAACACTCGTCATGAATTCAAGCATCGCAGATCTCCTCGGTCAGATTGTTTGACCTGTGATTAGAAAGACTTTGCAGTTTTACGTTGAGGATGGTGCAGAGTTTGTGAGAAAGAGGTAAAGAAGTAAGAATCGGAATGAGTTCTTAGATATGTCACTGCAGCTAGCTAGATTTGTTGCGCCCAATCTGTCGTCCTTTCTGATTTTCGTCTGAACAGGGTGCTCGGTACAATTTGTGAAACAATCAGAACAATTTATCTGCTTTTTCTTGAACTGCTGTCAGGAGTGACAGATTATGTGATTCAAAAGCAGCGTAATTGTCTGCTGTAAACTCTATGCGAATGGGAGTTAATTACAAAAGGATTGATCTAGAGTCTGCATTAGTAGAGGTCCACAAGTTCTTACATGTGCGCACGATGAGATCAGGTACGGGAAAGTCTTCCTTAGTACACAATTTGAGACATTTCGCTCACTGAAGCTAGGGAATTCTAGGCAATTCTTTTTAATCGTCGTGCCTGGCAAGGCAGTGACGACTCGCAGAAAGGGCAGCAGACCTGTTTCTGGTGGCAAGATTGATGATGTGGTGAGGTTTGAACTGGTGAACAGTCTGTCATCTAAGCACCACGAACTCATTATGCTTTTTCTGTATTCAGGTTCATTCATTTTAAGTGTGCAAATTTAACAAAATTATCCGATCCAACTGGACTCACAGAAAGTCAAAACAAGAAAATGTGTGAAATTATTCGAGAGACGTTTTTAGTCTCCACTATAGCACTTGGAGTAAATCTCTTCTTCAGCACTGCCCACTTCAGTAAGTTGCAGGAGGTCATCGACCACCACTTACTATCCTTAAACCCTTCCCGGTAGAAGATCTAGGAAGCCACTCCAGGTTAAAGGAGGTATTGTTCAGGCGAAGATTATGTTGTGAACTTCTGGCTGGGAATTGCAACTGCAGCTGAATTGGAGCAGGGAAGAAATGTGTCCTGAATCCATGTTGTCTTCAAATTTTCTAAACTAACTTTTACTAGTAGATGGCCTGCCCAAGTAAAATATGATCTGATGCCAAGCTGTCTTCCCAATAACCGTTCCAAGCTGTCTTCCCAATATCCATTCCGCCTTCCTTTTTCGAATCAAAATCACCATAATGAGACAAAGGCGTCGGAAATGATTTAGACGGAGGAACAAGTCCATCGTTTTTGTGACTGGGTATTATTGACTTTTTGGCTACTCTACTACAAGGATAGTCCAGGGAGCGAACTGATACCGAACATGGTCGGGAAAATACGGCTCATGAACAATTCAAAACTGTGACGATGGTCCGCAGACGTATGGAAAATACGATTCATGTACCATTCTAAACCGTGGCAATCTTCTTCATAGTGTTTATGAAAACAGGTCCTCCGACTCGTGCAGATTGCGCCCGGCCAGCTAGAGTTGTATATGAGTTAGCACCACTTTGAAAACAACTGTATAAAGTGAATTCAGCTGCTGGACTATGACTCGTTCCTGGATTTTTTTCCATTGCCGGGCATCTCCGAGCACCATGTGACGCAAGGTGGTAGAGTTATCTGTACACTGAATAGAGTCACAAGGACTGCGAATTTCGTTCGCATGCCGTATGGACTCTGGGAGCAATCCGAGAGGATGCAACAGAGCAACATGCGTCCTGGTCGTGGAGACATCAGGGAGCGGACACGAAGGGGCCTCCGTGAGCTCCTCGGCTGGATTCTGTACTGGCACCTCCACGGCCTCTTTCAGGTCAGTTTCTGCGATTGAGATACTGCTCACGGCGTTGGAAGCGCCATTCCGTGACGAATTCGCCTGCACGGAACCTCCAGAGCGAGAGATGTTCAGCTGTACAGATTCATGTGATGAAGGCACGCGTAATGCAGGAGAGCCATGGGTAAGGCGAACGGTGGAAAACGAGCAGGATGCTATGCCTGAAACGGGAACTGCTTTCGAGGACCATGTACGACGTGAAGCTAACGCCGCACCGCCGCAGCTGCTGCCTACGAGCTAGGCAGCCATCGTTATTTCTCCAAATGCTTCGCTCCGTGATTGAATCCAGCGTCTGCCTCCAAGCTGGTGATGACCATCTCGATCTCGCCCTTCCAAAAAAAGTATTCCTGTTTACACGTTATATCGTTACCATATCGTCACAGAATCTTATGGAACAAAAGCTCGACGAGAAGTCGCAAAATGCGCCTCGGAGGTGGAAAATATGAAACAGTCAATTGAACTGTACAGATCAGGTCGAATTAAGAAGGGGGCAGCCGAATATTGTGAGCATTGGTCGTGACATTCGAAAACTACTCATTCTCATCCGACTCCCGGACGCAGTGAATCTCTCGAGCCACAGCCAATCGAAGCACGTCGTAGAATGGCCTCAGGAAGCCAGGCCAGTAGGGTTTGAGGCACAGCATCAAAGGGCATGCACCAGCGCGAGTGCGTCGTTTGCATGCTTCCATACAAACAAATTAATACATATATCTAAAAATTTTCAGCCATTTTAAACAAAAATAAAACATTCTTAGAATTTTACTTCTAAGATTGTTTTATTTTCGTAGAAGTACATCTCTGAATACGCTAAATGTATGTAGTGTAATACGGGTATGGCCTGCCTCAAAATATTTTCCTATTACTCCAATCCTACAGACCAGGCACGGATACTCGGCGACGACTTCGAGAATTCTCTTGTTTTGCTCGCTGGTGTGTGGATAAAAGGATCCCTCCCGTCATCCCCCCAAACTCCGAGCCCGCATTCCCCGCCGTCTCCGACTACAGTTGGCAGCCTGGGTACGAGGGCCACGTGGAGGTTCGCTGGGGACCCTAGTATCCTTCGCGGAGGAGGCCGCTGATACTCGCTCCAGTTAAAATTGAAAGCACAGCAAATTAGTTTGAGTCATGTCCATGGTCAAAAGGCATGGTCCATGCACTTATTACACTAAATACATTTAGCATATTCAGATATATACTTTTCAGTATTCAGAAATATATTTACTCGTAAATAAATCATTCTTAGAAATAAAATTGCTAAAAAGTTATAGATATAAATATTAATTTGTTTGTACATACATCTATGAATTCATGGAAATATGCGAACGAGAATCACCCTGGGACTAGAGTTGGAGGCACGTCAAAACATTTTGAGGCATGCCCATGCCC